TTTTATTTTAGAATAACTGATGATAAAAGATTACTTTCCAAAACAATAATCAAAGCATGTGAAGTGAAGTCACATAACCATTTGGTCAGCACATTGAAATATAGAGAATTTTTTCTGAGAGCCAAGTGGAGGAGGCAAAAACACGAAGCAAGACAAAAGTCATAATGACTCGCTCCCAGTATGGGCTCCAAAAAAGTATGAGCATGAAATACTAGGGAAAAAAATACTAGATTATCTAAGAAACATAACATGAAAGAAAGCTATGTCTACCAATCTTAACTAGGTGGTAGTTATCTGGGGCTTGTTTACAGCCTTTTTATATAAAGTAGATTCTAAATAAAACCAAATTAATACTTACTGAAACGTATATTCAAACAAGAGAGCTAAGCAATGAAAGAAATTTAAATACAAACCTCTGGATGCTCTTTCCTTATCATCAAAGTAAAAAATGTTTTAAGTATATAAATAGTAAACCTCAGTATCTGCTTTTCTTTCAGTGCTTTATTATAAAGTAGGCATTCCCTAAAGTGATGAAATGGTATTCATTAAGGAGTGATCAGTAGCAAGTTGGCAAAGGCTAGAACAAGAAATAATAGAGTTCCTAATAACAGAGCCTGTTGATGTTGAGAGGAAATGCAGATGATGCCAAGAGGAAGGTTTCAAGTAGCAGGATGAGTGAAAAGGCATGATACAGGAGCTCCTAAGGGTGAGCAAGTGTGAGTTAGAGAAGGGATGGCATTCTACTGCCAATTAAGTGCTTACTATTATGAGAGCTAAAAACTCTTCAAAATGAATAAATGGGTTAAATAGAATGGGGATTACCATTTAAGTAGAGCATTCTAACTTTGCTTCAGACCATGGGAATTCTATAAAATCACAAAGGAGAGAATTAGCTGAACAAAATAGTTTAATTTAATGGGAAATTTATTTCAGAAGAGAAGCTAAAGAAAATTTCTGGAGTTAAGTAATGACATTTAGAATTAGGAGACGTTTATGTAAAAGCAATGTCCAAGGATAAAGTTAAGTAATAAGAATTTTCAGAAAGAACTAGAAAAACCTGAGATAGAGACCTGAGGCACTTTATAAAGAGGAACAAAGAAAAATGTAGGCTCTCTACTGGAAATAATTAGAATAGTAGAATTTGACCTAAATTAAAGAAAAATATTACACATGCCTGAGTGTAAGCACAGGAACACACACACACACACACACACACACACACTCCCTTTCCTACCTTAGAAATCCCCCCAAAGACTGAGATCAAAATGTTACTTCTGTTCCTTTTCTAGTCTAATTAAAACATGAAATGTTGCCTATTGCCTGTTATCAGTTTATGCATATTATGGGTTAAATAGAAAAATTAATATTAATTAAGGGTGTCACTTTACTGCAGCATTTATTTTACTAAGTCAGAGGAACAATGATCATAAAAACAAAGCATAGATCCAAATTATATACTGTACCATATATGCTAATCTGAGTGGAAAAGGCAAAGTTTTAGCTGGTGCTCTTATAAAAAAGGTACTGTTATAAACACCAAAATTTAATCCCATCCCAGAAAATAATTATACACCAAAATAATTTCTCAGAATATGAAAGCCTTTTGAACTGTAAAAAGAATTTTAAAAATCATAAAATAAAAAAGAAACTTTCCAATTATAAAATTTCCTCACAAAACCTCCATTGTGCTTTTAATTCTTTATTAATTTGATTTAGAATATTTTTTAAACAACGTTAAGTGGCTGGGATTATCTTTTTAAATTTAAATTTCATAAGAAAGAAAATCACAATGCACATTCCCCGACCAGATTGCCTGTGGCCTATTTTATTCGAAATGTTTGATTCCATATGGATTTCTTCTCTTTATTTATTACTTCCAGAAAGAATTCTCTCTAATAAGTTAGCAACTCAAGGGTGACTGATTTGAAACCCACACCCTGAAAGACTGCAGGACCCCAGATCTGCCACCTGCAATGTTTTCTAGAACTTCTGTGTGGAGCATGAACCAAGTGTGAGCCACAAGCGGGTGGTCCACTGAGGTTAGGGTTAAAGTTCACAGCATAATTTGGAAATTATTCTCAGTTTGGATGTCATTTATGAGGCCTAAGAATACACCCTTTAATTAGAATACAATTTCCAAAGCAGCCACTCCCTTGACTTTCCAGCGCTCAGTTACTCTCAGCAAAGAAAAGTAAAAACAGCCTCATTACACTGACAGCTAACGGTCCCCTATAAACGAAGCCCTAAATGTCCAACAAAGAAGGCAGCAGCCCATCTGGGACAACGAAGACTAACATCTGCCAGCCTCACTAACCACTCTCAGAAACACAGAAAGCAAAAGCAGTCATAGTCAACAGAGTCCCTCTCCTTCACTTGCTTAAGCTGCTGAGCTGTGCCATGGAAGCTTGGAAAAAGAGTGGGCTGTGCATTTGAAAACGTTCCCACACCCTAGCCGGTCTCATTTTTCTGATGATCCCTGCATCCAGCCAAGCTCGCACTACAGTGGGAACACTAACATCAATTCCGTGGGAGCCAGCTGTCCGCCTCTTCCACGGTGCTCAGGGAGCCACACAGAACTCCTGGAATGGGAGCCAGCCCAGTCCTGACTCACCACAGATGTGCCTCTCCTCCCCCATGGAGCTCTGAGCTGGAGTCTCCCTTTCCAGGGCCCCTTGTTATTACCAAAGATTTAGTGGGTCCCAGAAATGTGCTAGATGCTGGAGCAAAAGGAAAACACACAACTCCCTAACCTGGGAGTTAAGAGACACAGACATTAAATTATGCAGAGATGGCCAAGGACCCTGTGGGGAAAGCCAAAGAAGGAAAGTCAAGCAGCCATGCAGTTTTATCAGGCACTTGGAATAGCAGAATCTACCACAATACAAAACTTTCAAATGCTATCCAGAATTGAGTCAGTTTTAAAGATGATATAAAATGTTCCACTTTTGCAAATCCAGATATCAAATTTTTTTCTGTTGATCCAACAAAGTAGCCTTTGTCTAAAAAAGTGCGACTGTGAAAATAACAAAAACAGAGTTTTTGAAATTTATAATCAGAATTCAGTCAGATGTCACCCACAAATATTTGGAAACACTTGCCAGCTTGTTCCGAGCAGGGGTGGCACTATTGTCTTTGGCCATTATCCTTTGTATATCCATTCATCTGTCAGTTTTCCCAGCAGCCCTCTCGGAGGGGGCTATAAATCTCTCTATCTCTGCATTCCTTCAATGTGCATCAGTAGGAAACTAGACAGTTGTTCCTGAATGTTCCAGTGTTGCATGGCAGAGAGTACATCATTACCTCAGTAAAGAAATTCTGTCATGCAATTTACAGTATTTTTGATCAATGTCCACTTAACCAGTATAGGCACTAGAAAAATTCATTTTAAACCTATCCTTTTAAATAGTATGAAATCTGTGACTACAATGAATTTTAACACATAGCACAAACACATTTAAGACTAATACATTAACATGACTCTCCATATCCTTATTCAACAGTGTATATTTTTTTGTTTTTGTTTTTGTCCTAAGAAATCTTATTCACATTTTCCTAGTGTGGGCCTTGGAAAAGAAGATTAGGGAAATAAATCAATTAAATGAAACACACACACTTAAAATTCTGTTACTACAAAATAAAGTGAAAAAACAATCTTACTTCCCAACAGGTAGGTGAAGGTAAAATTATCCCTAAGACCTACCTCTTCTAACACTTACTAACTCTACTTGCTAGGAAATCACAGATAAAATGTGCCAGTATCTCATAAAACCATAAGTTTAACACCAGCAGAGTCAATGTTTAGATAAAAGGCAAACAAAATACATCTGGGGGATAAATGCTTACTTGAAAAAATGTTTATTTGATTCTTTTGGGAAAGCAAGATAAATTTTGCTCCTCACTAATTTCTGAGTCTCACTTCCTTCCTTCCTACTCTCTTCTCCAAGACAAAAGTATATAAAAACCAAAATTGTTCTAAAATTAAAACTAAAAGACACTCATTTTTAGAGCTTTTGTTTGAATACTGAAAATTTCCTTCAATAGAATTTTTGTTATTGTTTGTTCCCTGCTAAGTTGGTCTCATCCTTCCAAGTTTCAAAATAAGTGTAGTATGTAACCCAAGAAAGGGTCTATATTATGAAGTTGTATAAACTAAAGAATTAAGTTTTTAAAATTAAAATTAAAATAAAACAACACTTGATTCCCAGAAATAAATTCTTCTCCTCTGTCTACTATGAAAAACCAAGAATGAGACATAGTAATTTAGTTGCCATGAATGAGAATTTCAAAAAACGTATTCCTGTGCACTTCCAGGTGAGACACAGCAGTGATCTTTGCTCCTATATGTTTGCTACATAGAATAATTCATTATGTGGCAAATTCATTTTGAACCCACCTGGAGGAAATTTAGCAACCAGAATATAAGCTCCAGAAGGTCAAGAACAGAACATGACATGCAATCAGCATTATGAAAAGCACCCAAAAAATATATTTCAGTGCATTTTGAGAGTAAAATACACATACACACCCAAAGATTTTGTCTATATTCTACACAGCAATTTTAAGAAGAAGGAGAGGATTGAAAAATTTTTTTAAAAATAGTAATTATAAAAAATTTGTTACCATTTGGCTAGGAGAACAGAGACCACAAGAGCATTTACCTTTTAGTTCTGTCTTTCTCTTTTCAGTTTCATAATCCACATATACTTAGAGTCGTTTGACTTCCACTTATCGCTGCTCAAAAAGGAAGTGATTTTTTACTAAATCTCTCTGAGAAAAGTCCAAAATTTATGGGTCAATTCCTCCTTTCTAATGAAAGGATGAAAGTTGACAGCATTATTTATATCCTAGTTTTAGCTCTATAATTTAAAATACTAACAAAAACACTGTTGATAAGCTGTTGATTTACAGATTTGCAGCAGAACAATACGGGACAATTAACTGAGAGCATATTATCACAGTCATATCCCCAAATCACTCAAATTTTTCCTAAAAATACTTACTTCTGATAAGTTCACCATCAAGAGGATTTCCCCAAATGGACTGGTCTTGTATCTCTCCATGTGTGAAGTGGCTATTGGTAGCTTGAGTTATATCTTTTTCAGTATTGTCTTTATCACATTTTCCTGAATAAAAAAAATATATATATACATTTATTATTGTTGAAGGTTACATCTTTTTCTCTCCTTTTTTTAGTTTATAGATTTTTTTCTAAATACTTCTAAGGCTTCCATAATTTAAGGAAATGAGAGAGGTATACATGGAGTGACTATTGCATATATTACTGGCTCAATAACAAATATTTATGGAGCATCTACAATCTGCTAGCATTAAAGAAACAGAGGTGTTCATAGTAAAAACAATCTATTAAGATTATAGTAAACAGATAATTCTAACATAGCAAGTGATATGATAGAGAAACGTGGAAAGGTTACATCAAGGATGAAAATGAATGAGTCCACAAGCATGCAGGGTGGGGGCAGCCACAAAAGTATCAAAGGAGAAGAGATTGTGATGAGTGGTTGGGATGAAAGTCAGACTGGAGTTGAATGAAGAGTGACTGAGTAGGAAGAAGTATAGAAGACAAAGACAGAGTGCACTCTACAGAAACTTAGGAAAAAGTCAAAGACTGTGTAATGCATCCTTGGAGAAGGGTATTTAGGATAGAGATTCATATGTGGGTTTACAGGTTCTCAGAGGAAAAGACAATATGTAAGAAAATGTAAAGTCTTTGGGGGAACATAAATCAATCAAAAAGCAAACTATAATACGAGGTAAAATTCATGCTATGAGAGGTCCAGAGAATTAAAAAGGTTCAAAGGATGAAAAAAATACTCATCAGGATTCAGAGATCAAGAAAGGTACTATAGAAAACGATGCATGTTAGGTGGTCTTTAAAAGATCAGTAGGATTTCAAAAAGTACAGGTGGGAGAAAGGCTAAAAAACAGCATGAGCAAACTCCAAAAGCAGACACTTGGGCAAAGGTTCCAACTCTCTAGACTGTGAAGTACTTGAAGGGGGACATTGGGAGCTAAGACTATAAAAGTTTGATTACAGACATAGTGTGGGTATTTGAATGCAAAGGTGAGAAATCTGAACCTAATTTAAAAGCAAGAAAAAATAAGTCAAAGTAGCCACTGAAGCTTTATGAAATGCCTAATCAGAGCTGTGCATTAGAAAGATTAGTAAACCAGTGCACATCAGTGGTTCTCAATCCTGGCTGCACCTTAATTCACTTGGAAGTTTTAAAAGAAACAGATTCCTGGATCCCACCACTAAAGATTCTATTTCAACTGGGCAAGAAGAGACTACAATCAGATGATTCCACAACACTTATGTCCTTAGAATTGCTAAAGTATGGATACATCTAAGAAGCAGAACAAAGTAAAAGAAACTAAAAGAGAGACTTAGCAAAGTCCACATAGAAGTTGGTGAGAGTTTAACTGGATAACAAACAGAAAAGGATATAAATGTGAGAAATTAACTAGAGACTTGTACAGATAATCAAGGAAGATGGGGCTGGAGATGACCAATCTCAGTCTAGATTTGATTGGGAAAATTTGGATATAAGGAGAATAATTTATTCTTTTTAAACATATTTATTTAGGCCGGGTGTGGTGGCTCACGCCTGTAATCCTAGCACTCTGTGAGGCTGAGTTGAGTGGATCACTCAAGGTCAGGAGTTTGAAACCTGCCTGAGCAAAGAGCAAGACCCTGTCTCTACTAAAAATAGAAAGAAATTAATTGGCCAACTAAAAATATAGAGAAAAAATTAGCCGGGCATGGTGGTACATGCCGATAGTCCCAGCTATTTGGCTGAGGCAGAAGGCTCGCTTGAGCTCAGGAGTTTGAGTTTGAGGTTGCTGTGAGCTAGGCTTACACCACGGCACTCTAGCCCAGGCAACAGAGTGAGACTCTGTCTTAAAAAAAAATCATATATATATATATATATATATATATATAATTGTACACAGTAGATGTGTAGGCATTGTGCTAGGTTATAAGGATACCATGAATCATAAGATGCAACCCAGGCCTTCATGGATGCATTCAGTACTGGACATTTGAATTTGCAAGTCAGAAAAAAAGTTATAACCAGAAACAGCCATCTTTCTAAACTTAATTGCTGAAGTCATGCAAATTAATGAGCTCACCAAAACAGTGAATATATTAAGAGTACTGAGAAGTGTCTGTACAATTAGGAAGGAGTTAGAGAAGTAAGAGAATCTGGATGATGTCAAGCCATGGAAGCAAAGAAAGGAAAGAGATTCAAACAGAAGTTGTTAGTCAACTGTGTTAACATTTCCAGTGGAAGGAAAAAATTTCTGCACATGCAAAAACTTCTCATGCCCCAGGGAGATTTCACAACAATTGAAAAGTTCTGCCATGAAACACATTTCAACACATGAAAATAGATGGACACCCACTTAGGACTAAGTCTAGAGGCTAAGATCTCTGAAAAAAATAGGGCATAAATTCAAAGTATTTTTAGAAAGCAAAGCCATATTCAAATAGCAGTAAAACATAAATTAAAAGCACGCTAAACCAATATGTTCTAGATTTATGTAACATTTACTCAGCATTATCCTGGAGAAAATGTAATCTTCATGAGATGTGTTAGTTTCAATTAAAACCTTTACTTTTTTAAACAACTCCAGAAATCTTTCCACTGCTACAGTCAACTCAAGGCCTTTCTGAGATTATCAATAAAAGAGATTTTTATACAAACTCACTAGTACACATGAACCGGCTCATCAACAGAATTCTACATACTTGCTGCTACTGTTTTGTAGCTAACTGCCGCCAGGTGTCATGCTAGTAGGCTTGATTCAATTAGCAACTTTAATTGAAGCTGAATGAAATTAATTATATAATTTTGAACTGTTCAAGTTTAATTCCATTAAAATTAATTCATGAAACAAGGCATTATGAAGTATTGCTGACTAAAAGAAAATAGGTTTGAATAAAGTCTCCAGATACACTTGACTCATATTTGAATCATGTCCAATATCCAAGTGCTAAACACAGACCCTTTCAACTTTCCATTGTATACATAAAAATGACATGTGGTCCATATACATGTAGACATACAATCATGTGACTCACTCTAGGGGGAAAATAAAGTTCTTCCTGATCTACATTTTTATTAATGGACAGTTTATCACACTTTTTAAATAAAAGTTTCCTTATCTGTAAAATTCTAGAATAAAGTTGATTCCCAGTGTCTTTCTCAGGTCAAAAAAATATATATTATCCTGTATCATTATATTTAAGAAATGATAAATAGTATGCAATTACAATAAAATCACAATCATCAGTGTATCCAACTTTTGAAAACTAAATGTCTTGGCTCAAAAGTTGGTCTCAGGCTTTTGCTATGATACACAGCACCCAGCCCAAAGCAAGGCTCAGAAATGGGTCAAAATAAAAAATTAAAATTGACTTTTGTCAGTTCTCCACTAGTAAAACAAAACTTCTGTGACCACTTGGCTGTTCTATGACTTTCTACTCTATGCATATTATTTTATTAATATGTCCTTAATATGTACACATTTTAATGGAATACCTATATGACAACCTCATAAATAGTGATCAGTTACATATAACACAACACTGAAGAAATGCACTGAAAAGAAAGCAAGATTTAATTGATAGACATCCCAACACAGCCACCATGCCATCCAAACACAGAACCAACCTTACTACAACTTTCAACTGGTTGGGTCAGCCACTAGTCATCAAAATGACAAAAATGGCAGTTTCTAATAATAGATTTCTGTTATTGATGTAAGTTTTCTGTGTCACTTCTGAATGGGGAAGCAGAAGACAGTTCTGGTTTAATTAATTCCATTCTGGATGTATGGAAGTTCACAGTTGCAATTCAACTACTAAGTAGGCCTGTAAAACAGGCAATCAGGTGATTTCACTGATGTATGAAATCAGACTATGCCTTTCAACAAGGTTTCTATTTACACATCCAACAGGCACTCCTCCCCAACACAGCAATTTTATCTTAAAAGGGGCCCTTCATCATCTCGATAATGCTGTCCTTCAAAGCCAATGGTCCTCCACTTTGGCTCTGAGTCAGAATCACTGTAGACCTCTTTAAATATAAACCTCAGAGGTCTCAATTCAGGTGTGTAGGGCGGGTTGGTGATGTCATCATGATACATGGCCAGGTTTGAGGGCGCTGTTCTAAGTAAGCTTTTGTCCTGTACTGCAGAACTACTTAGAAAAAAAATTAGAAGAGCATATAAAATATTAAGATACACATCTTGCCACTCATTGCCTTGTCACAGTATTCCAAGGAATTATAAAATAAACTTTTATCTAAATATCTAATTAACATAGAAGTATTTAGTTCTGTCTCCATGTTAGGACAACTATGAGAATACAAAATCTGAATTATATATAATACTAATCAATTCTACTAATAGATGGGATGAAAGAAATATGTCTTAGATATTAAAATAAAAATTGAAGAGACTTTAAAAATATTACTAGACCAAAGGATACTCCCACACCAATGGCAATTTCTTCCAAAAGGCTAACTCCCAAGCATTCCAGTGTGCCTCCTCTGGACACAGAAATGTGGAAGAATCTTTGGATGAGGAAAAAAGGCTAGGTCCCTGACATCGAATCCTTCTCTCTGGGGAGACTAAACACACACACATGAATCAATCAAGCAACTACAAAACAGAAGGTAATGAAAACTGCTCTGGGTCACAGTTCTGGCTCAAAAGCTGACCAGCTGTGTGCCCGGAACCAGCCTCATCCTCTTCATCCTCTTCATTGGGAAATTAGAGCATTGAGCTGGATGACTGCAGAGGCCTTTCCGGCTCTACAATTGTGTAAATCTGAATCTGCACAAAGGTTAAACAATAGAGCCAAAATCTCATATACAGGCTGAAGGGTATTTAGAATGGAGTAGAGAAAATCATAGAAAAGACTGGAATTTTTCTAAGGCATTGGAGTTGAGTTCATTTGAGTAGGGAATTGGATTTGACTTAATTCTCAAAGACAGTGACAAGCATGAATTAACCAAAAGAATAAGTCAAAGGAAAAAAATAAGGGTTCCAAATGATCAATTTAAATACAATATGTCCTACTCAGAAATGACTATTT